ACGGCGAAACGACAGGGTTCATGTGCAGCGTCCGATACGTTCGAAACTTCAAATGACCTACATGTTATGTCGACAGCAACTCGGACGTGCTCCATCAAATCTCGCCCATGTTCCATAATACTAGGCAGTGGCACAGAGCAAAGTGACAGGAATAGATGATTCGTCAGTCGATCGGGTTCTATCAGAAAATGTGACCAAGGAAAAAAGTCCGAGCAGTATTTCCTGATGACTGAGCCACCACCCCCCCATCTCATCTCGTTGTCGTCGCAGGATACCGCGACATGTGCAAATGCTTGACCGCCCTCGTCTGGGTCTCGGTCTCGTGTCCTCCTCTTTATGTGATTCCATATTCCCTGTCCAATGTTCGCCAGCCATGTTCTCTTCCGTATTGTACACGCAAAACCCCCTCCTCGTCCCGCACAAGGCAAGGCAAGGGGGTGCATCATCTTCCTAACCCTCCCATAATCGGCAGCGTAATATCTCCGGGTCTAATAACTCCAGAGTGCAACCGCACACAACGCCGCTGACCGCCTCGCCGTGGCCAATCCCCCACATGCTCGCTTTTAGTCGTGATAAACATGCTTCGTAAAAATGAAGAAGTATAATCCAAGGAAAAGAGACGGAAAAGAAAGAAAAGACTCGCAGCCTCCGCATCGGTGTATCTTCCTGATGCCGCGGCCCTAAGGCACGCCTGGTATCGCTCGATAATATTGGTGCCGTCCCTGTTCGCGCGCTTTTGGTGGTACATGTTCCTCGCCGGCGCATAGTCCGGCCGAGGGGAATAAATAAGTGAGAGCCAAATTCAAAAACTGACTGTAGGAAAACCCCGGGAAATGATGATGTAAGGAAGCGTATGATCGTCGCTACATTAACGTTTGTTCGTGTTTCGTCTCTCAGAAGCCGAGTCCAAGGCGGGAGAAGGAGGAGTCTAGCATCTTTGATCGTGGAAGGCCCATACCGGGCGAGTTGAGTTTTGTCTTGCCCATGCGGACCTCGCTGACTCGCCGGTCGCGACCTCGACCCTTGATGCCCTTGTTGCTGTTCTTGTAGATATTGGAAAAGTACCAGAGCAGGTCACGGTCTTTGGGCGACAGAGCGTCAACGTCCGTAAGAGAAATGATCCAGTCAACAAGCTGGGCGATTGTCTCCTTGTGATACTTATTCTGGTGGTTCTGCACGTAATTGGTCAATACAATTGAATTGATTATGGCCTGATGACCTGAAGCTTACCTTGAGATTTCCGCGTGTCGTGAAGCACTTGTTGCATGTGTCAAGTTTGCAGACGAAGGGCTTCGTCTTGCTGTGTGTAGCCTTGTGCGCAGTCAAGTTGCCGCGTTGCGCGAAGCAGGTTCCACACATCTCGCACTCAAAAGGGCGCTCGCCAGTGTGAAGTCGGGTGTGTGTCTTCAAGTTGCCAGGTTGCGAGAATCGACGTCCGCATCCGTGCCACTCGCATTTCTGGTCGGAGTTAGTACGTGTCGGTCATGTTGCCCAGGAATATACTTACGTAGGGCTTGTCGCCAGTATGGGCGCGCTTGTGTGTTTCCAAATGTGTGCTCTGCTGGAAGCTCTTGGGGCATCCGTCGTAGGGACACCTGTACTTCTTCACCTTGTCGGTAGTTTCCTGGCTACCATCTGTACTGGACTTGGAAAAGTCAACATTTGTCGACTCAGAAGTGAGGCAGAAGGCTTACTGGATGAGGGGAAGAGGGTTCTGACTTGACGCTGCCAGCACCAGCCTCGGAGGAGTTGCTGCTTGCAAGCTCCTCCTTATCTTTCCTCTTCTGAAGAGCCTTCATCATGACATCAACAGGAGTCGTGAAGACTTTTTTTTTTCTGTCATGACAGGCTTGTTGTAGGTAATATCCTTTGTGTTCATGGGACCCGGGGTCTTAGGAGCGTTCAGCGACTCGTTCCTGGCGGCTGAGGGACTGTTTTTTTGTGGGGGGTGAAAAAATGTCAAGGTGCTGCTGCTGCTGGGGCATCTGAGATACCATTGGGGAGGCGGGATGCGAAGAGTAAGCCATGGCTAGGTGGCCCGCAGGCTGGTCGTACTGCCCGTAGGAGTAGTGAGTCTGTGCGGGGAAGTGAGGCTTCATGTTCGAGATGGGAGATGCACCATAGGCTGGTGCTGTCACATAGTGAGTAGCCATGTGAGGTGCGACGAGGGGACCAGAGGTGACAACAGTTCTCGGATCATACTGGCTTGTCCTGGGATCATACTGTGTTGGCTGGGAGGCATACTGAGGGAACACAGACTGATCCATCAGGGGATATCCAGAGTGATGTTGGGGCTGCTGCTGTTGCTGCTGCTGCTGCTGCTGCTGTTGCGACCACTGGTCCCAGGGTTGAGGGGTGGGCGAGGGAGACATGGTGTCCAGGAATGTTGGTTCGATAGCGTGAAGATATAGCAGAGAGGGATGTTTGAGTGACACGAGGGGAAGTAAGACTTTAAGAAAGCAGCTTTAGTGGGTTGTTGTCAAGAGCACTGTGTCGTAGGACGAGAAAGCAAGAAATGGTATCTCGAGGGTCGTACAACTGTATATATATACAATGGCGGCGAGAAGAAGGCTGATGTACCATGGCTGGGGGCCGATCCTTGAGAGAGCCAGGCGATTGGAAAAAGCCCGTGAGAGATCTGGACTACGTTGCACCCATGCACGAGACAAGTCTCTACGTGGGCCGTGGGCCATGGTCTAGCAAAAGCAAGATACCTAGCGTCGATATGAGGACTTACCGTTCGGGCCCAGAGTTGACGACGGCAGAGGGTGAGTACCAAGTCCATGTCCCCTTTCGGGAGAGGTTGCACCCCCACCGGCCAGGGGCCTGGGGGAGGGCCGTGTCCAGGTCCCCAGGAAGGGGAGAAGGGGAGGGGGGAGGGGGGTGAGGTATCGGGAGGTTGGCACAGGTCACTCCTGGGAGCAAGACGAGGGAAAACACCGACCCCTGCCGTAAAACCCCCCTCTGGTGTTGCCTCCTCCACCCCCATCTGCCAGGTCGCCAGGATGGTGTGGTGACCAAAAGGCGGGAAAAGAGGCTTGGTGCGGGATGTGGACTCCAGGTCCTGAGGCGTCATCCCCCCTGATCATGATCCAACCCGCCTTGCCTGGTCAGGCCTGGCCCTGACTATGACCTTGACGATGATCCCGACTGACTGACTGGGGCGGCAGCCAGGGCCGGTGCACTAGCTTCGCCTGTTGGACGACGAGCGGCGTTGAGAGGCTTGAGCTGGGGGACCAACGGGGGGGCTCCATCAGTGACAGTCGCCAGCCGAAGTCAGGTCGGGATAGGTCGAGCCGGTAAATGAGACATGTTGTGGGAAGAGCGGAATCGGCTTAACCTGGCTGGCTGATAGCAGCTGGATAGTTGTCGAAGGGCCCTGAAAGCACGTCTGAGGTCTGGCGTGGCCGAGTTGGCTGTGCTATGTTGAAACAGACAGTTGTGTTAGTTGGCCGAAATAAACATTAGGCGTGCAGATGCAACGGAGTGCTGCTCATTGCTTGTTGCTTGTTCATGCTCCGGGGCTCTAGGCAGGCCTCTCGGGATGCTGTGGAATCGATCGGCCACGCAGAGGCGGCAACGGGTACAGAGGGCATAGCCCTCGGACAAGCCGCCTGCCAACTAAGTCAACCTTGACATGTCCGCCCAGTCCCGCCATGACCACCATATCGCAAGTCAGGTTGCTCTGCCCTATGCTGGTGTGGGAGCTTCGTAGGAACCGTTCGACAAGGGTTGCGGTAAAGCAGTCAAGGTAGGGCGGCGAGATAGGGAATATCGGGGTCAAAGATGCGTGGGAGGGTCGGTCGCAAGTCGGGAATAGAGATGTCAACGCATAGGTAGGTCGTAGCGTACCTCAGCAGACTGGCAGAGCTTGCGAGGACCAGGCGATGAATGCTGGACATCGAGGGAGTTGACAACAGCACAGCCTGCGGAACACGGGGGTCGCAGCCACAGTATTGGTGGAGTGGGGAAAAAGGACCCGAGTGGGCTGCTGCTGTGTTCAGCATCGCTGGGGTTCCCAGACAAAGTCCACGGCAGGCACATCAGGGGAAGACCCTGCTGTTTGGGATCTCAACTCTGCACTAGCTTCATCTCGTTCTTGCGCACAAGCCATCGACCCGTACGGGAGGAGGGGGGGGGGCTTGGGGGGGTTTCTGCCTATGCCTACCCTCATCTCTCACCTTTCACCATTCACCCCACCTCTCACCCCACCTGTACTTGGGACGTGTAGCGTACAGTACAGAGGGTAAGTGCACCCTAGCTCCCAGCATGTATCCCCGTCCAGTGTGCCTGCCTGTCCCTCTAGCGCGAGTGATCCGCTGCCTGTCTAATGACGCACCCGCTCGAGCCGCTGCTGGACCCCCAAACGCTCCCTGGTGAACCCCCCATAACCTGTTGTCACGAAACGAAGTGCAAGAATAGACCAGCAAGCAACACAGAGCAACGAGGCAACTCCCCCCACGAAACCCTTCTCAAGGATCAGCGGCTATCACGAGCATCAGCGCCATCAATATCGCCATGGGCATCAACGCCATTTCCTCTACGTTTGTGTCATTCACCGCTCAGTCCAAGCCTTCATCGTGAACAGCTGGGAAATCTCGCCATCGTCGACCACGGCGAAGAACAACTGGGAAACCCCTACCTTCTTCGTCGCTTGCCGCGGTCATCATCATCGGACAGGGTGCCGTGAATGTCGTTGATCAGCAGTCTTCAGCTTTGCATGCCGCATCGCTTCTTTCTGCGCAATACGACTTGCGCAAGCTGGTTCTTAGCCCAGCTGCCTCCGCGCTTGGATATGGGATATCTGACAGCTCGCAAACTCCCCTCGCAACATGCACCTGGCTTGGTGGCCTCCCAGGGTTGGCGGCCCACTCAAGGCAACCCGTGCGCCGACCATCCGCTGTATGTTCCGCTCTTCAGCAGCACCAGAGATGGAAAAAGATCAATTATACCAAGGCACCCAGCGCTCTTCAGCCAGTCCTCATGCAAGGGACGCAGGTGGTCACCATCCCCGCGCAGTACGTTCCGATATACTTGGGGCCGCCTATCGTAGGTACCTACCGCGCATCTGGCATCATCGTACATCTCACGTTGTACAGATTAGATCTTGACAACACCATGCCCCGTGTGTGTGTGTTTGAGTACTATCCCGCTCAACTCGAGCCGCACCTATTCAGCTTTTCCGTTCAGCTTTTCCACCTGTCCGTTGTAAGGGAAATGGAGGACGACGTGCTTCGTGTGACCAGCTGCACCCCGCCAGCAACGCCAGCTCGCAACTACTGGTCAACTAGTGTGGTGACAAGTACAAACTAGCATTTTGCGCAAAGCTGCTTACAACGGGGCCCGTCTTCGGAATTGTCAGATCCCGCAGGCTCGTCATCGACGTCAGGGCAGACTGACATGGGCAGGAGGGGACCATCTCAGGACGCTGACTGTCACCTCGCTTCACCTGGCTTGCTCCTTGCTCCTTTGCGATGAGCGACAGGCACAACCTCGTCGCTAAACAGATCGCACCGTTGTGGATTGAACCCCCCTCAGGATATCATGATTATGATTCGTACAAGAGATCACGATCTGATCTGAAGGATGCATCCGCGCACATCTCAAGGTGTCCGACAACGTACCTACCTCCACAAGGGGCGCTGTCTCTTGTCTTGTCAGAAATCAGATTTCGATTTTTTCCCATGGTAAACACAGCCAGCACCCTTGTTCCTCTCTTGCCCTAGTCTCACTCCTAGGAGGCTTCCGGAGTGCCGCGGGTCTTGGCAAGAATCCACTTGGACCAGGGAGACTATTAGCCGCCACCACTTTGAACGGATATGATTTATGACAGAAAGCTCCTCGATGCTCACACTCGTCGACGATGTAACAAATCGATCGCTGCCAGCACTTCGCACGAGCACCACGATCTGCTCCAGACGCTTTGCGATCCGAAGCAGCATCTCTCTGTTGAAAAGAAAACCGTTGCGGCGAGGAGCGAGCTGCGCAGGCCCATCAGGCACTGTTCTCTCCCTCCACGTATTCACCTGCCTCAACTCTGCCCGCCACCTTTCCCTCATCACGCGAAGGCAACCTCGTCTAGGTAACGCACCCGAGACAGACCAAAAGGATTGGGTTTCTGCGGGGGGTCGCCGGGGACCTAAAACAGCACGAATGAGTTGATCGCCGAACAATATCGGACGCGAGTGTCTCCTCGTTGACGGCCGAGTGACTCTGGAGACCACCCTGCATCGTCAGGCGCGATAGATTACTCAACAGAGCTCGCATATCATGAAGTCTGGACTTGATCATCAGGAGCGCCTCCTCTGCATTCTCAGTACGGCGTTGCCAATTTGACTTTCCGCTAATGTGTGCCATGAGATGGCCGGCCGTCATTCATCGCAGTGGCCGAGCCAGACTGTAACACCTTGAATCCGGCCCGCTGGGAGGAGAGACCCGATGCAAAAGCAATTACGCAGGGGCTAAATCGGGCTTAGCGATGCTGCAGGCCGATGATGCCAGTGCGCGAGACCCAGAAATGCGGTTAGTGGGTGACGGTTGTCCATGTCCTGTCTCGGTGTTGGTTGGCCATGGCCAACCATCTGGCGAGCCGTCACCCAAAGGCCATGAAATGTCTAAAAGATCAGACAAGCTGGCCAGCCACTGCGATTTTCAGGTTTTCTGATGACCTTATCACCGAACGCAACTCGATGCTGGGGTTCAAACAGCCCTTGAGCTCGGAACATGGGAATCGATTCTCAGACCCCATTCAATGTGAGGTCCACAGGGCCTGGCTGTGCCGGAAGATAAGATCTTATCAAGCCGTCCGTTCCTGACCGGTGAGTCAAGTCTCACAGCCATGATCATAGATGTCAAAGGGGA